TATTTGGAGAATTACAGCGGGATTTCGTGGAAATAACAATAAATGCAAAAGTGGCCAACCCCAGATAGCTATAGTATGGAACTTGCAGTCGGCTGCAAACACACGAACGGCCGGTGAAAGTGAAACTTCGGTCGACGATTCTGAGAACTGTGTTCATGGGATCTGAGCGCTATTCGCCTAGAATATGCCCTCAGATCCAAGCTATCTGGGGATATGTGGAACTTAAAGTTTATGTTGTGTAAAAAGAAAGTTATATATTTTTATTCTGTTTTGCTAAATAAGAAAAGCCATGCTTCTTTCTTCCTGGAGATAATTAAGGCTCTATTTGCTACCTTAAGTTAATTATCTCCAGGATGGAAAAGAGGGAGTGATTTATGTAAAAGGAGAGTGCTTATGCTATAGCCACTGTGATTGGCTACTGTGTTACTTTTGTCCCAGTCTTCCATCTGGTCCCCTAGGGGAGTGTCCACCAGGTGGAAAACCAGCATAAATACTGGGCAGGTAGCCCACAGTAAATCAGATCGTTTTACCCCTTCATGAAGTCTCGACTCATGTTTGGGGGATTGGGAGCTATAATCACTTTGTTTCAGTTGGATTTCGGGAGAAGCTGCAAGGATAATCGCTGCACAAATGCAAGGATCCTTTACAGTGTGTATGTCTGTATGTATGTATATCAGCATGTATGTGTATGTATGTCAGTATGTATGTATGTCTGTATGTATGTGTGTGTGTCAGTATGTATGTATGTAGGTCAGTGTGTGTGTCTGTTTGTCAGTATGTGTGTGTGTGTGTGTGTGTATCTGTATCTCCTTATCCATGTGTATGTTTCTGTATATGTGTGTATGTCTGTTTCAGTATTTGTGTCTGTTAGTATGTGTGTATCTTTCTGTGTGTGTGTCTGTGTCCTTTTGTGTCTGTGTGTGTGCATTCCTGTGGGTGGGGCTTGGAAGTCGGGCACCCGGGGGCCCACACCTTAAGTTGTGTAAGGGGCCCCACAATTTCTGATGACGGCCCTGTGTGTGTGTATGGACTCAGCAGTGTGTGTGTGTGTGTGTGTGTGTATGGACTCAGCAGTCTGTGTGTATGGACTCAGCAGTCTGTGTGTGTGTGTGTGTGTGTGTGTGTATGGACTCAGCAGTCTGTGTGTGTGTGTGTGTGTGTGTGTGTATGGGCAGCTCTGTGTGTGTGTGTATGGACTCAGCAGTCTGTGTGTGTGTATGGACTCAGCAGTCTGTGGGGTGTGTGTATGGACTCAGCAGTATGGACTCAGCAGTCTGTGTGTGTGTGTGTGTGTGGACTCAGCAGTCTGTGTGTGTGTGCATGGACTCAGCAGTCTGTGTGTCTGTGTGTACGTATGGATTCAGCAGTCTCTGTGTGTATGGACTTAGCAGTCTGTGTGTGTGTGTGTATGGACTCAGCAGTCTGTGTGTGTGTGTCTGTGTGTATGGACTCAGCAATCTATGCGTGTGTATGGACTCAGCAGTCTGTGTGTGTGTGTGTATGGACCTGGCAGTGTGTGTGTGTGTGTGTCTGGATGCAGAAGTCTCTGTGTGTGTATGGATTCAGCAGTCTGTGTGTGTGTTTGTGTGTGTGCGTGCGTATGGACTCAGCAGTCTGTGTGTGTGTATGGACTCAGCAGTCTGTGTGTATGTGTGTGTGTGTGTATGGACACAGCAGTCTGTGTGCGTGTATGTGTGTGTATATGGACTCAGCAGTCTGTGTGTCTGTGTGTATGTATGGACTCGGCAGTATGTGTGTGTGTATGGACTCAGCAGTCTATGTGTCTGTGTGTGTATGGACTCAGCAGTCTGTATGTGTGTAGGGACTCAGCAGTCTGTGTGTCTGTGTGTATTCAGCAGTCTGCGTGTGTATGGACTCAGCAGTCTGTGTGTGTGTCTGTGTGTGTATGGACTCAGCAGTCTGTGTGTGTGTCTGTGTGTGTATGGACTCAGCAGTCTGTATGTCTGTGTGTGTGTGTATGGACTCAGCAGTCTGTGTGTAAGTGTATAAATCAGCCTGTGTGCATTCAGCAACACCTGTGTGCATTCAGGAGTCTGTGTGCATTCAGAAATCTCTGTGTGTGTGTGTGTGTATTTTAGCAGTCTCTCTGTGTTCGTATTCAGTGTACTGTGTTTATGTACTCAGCAGTCTATCAATAATTAAAATTTTTATTCCTGTGAGTTGTTGTGTAGGAAAGGCCCCAGTGCACTGCTTTGCCAGGGGCCCTTAACGCTGTTAAGATGGTACTGCTTGTGTGTGTCAGTGAGCTTCTATTTAGTGAGCTTGTGTGTGTCAGTGAGCTTATCTTTAGTGAGCTTGTGTGTGTCCCTGAACTTCTTTGTAGTGAGCCTTCTGTTTATACAAGTGAGTTTGTCTGTAGTAAGCTTGTGTGTAAGTCAGAGAGTTTTGTCTGTCAGGAAGCATATTAGCGCATGTACTATATATATATATATATATTGACTTGTAGGAATGGCATATATTTTTTTCCAGGGCTGCTTTGGATTCTCAGTTTGGCTCTGCCAGCGAGTGCGCTTTACCGCTGAATCATCTGTGTGAGCTGCCGCACACTTTAGTCCTCTTACACGCGTCTGGGAGCTGCTGTTGACAGGTACTAGTAGTCTAGAGATTGGGACATGGAGTATATGCTCAGCTATCTGTATAATACAGATCTGTGTGTGTATAATATCCCGGGATGGTCAGTGCTTTCTGTATAGTGCTGCTCCCTGTATAAGACAGGCCCGTGTCTGTATAATATCCCGGGACAGTCAGTGCTTCCTGTATAGTGCTGCTCATTGTATTATACAGGCCTGTGTCTGTATAATATCCCGGGACAGTCAGTGCTCCCTGTATAGTGCTGCTCTCTGTCTTGGGATATTATACACAAACAGACCTGTATTATACAGAGAGCAGCACTATACAGGGAGCACTGACTGTCACAATTTATTATACACACAACCCTGTATTATACAGAGAGCACAGACAGTAATTGATAGCTGTGCCTCAAAATGTCCTTGGAAATTTTTTTCAAATGTTGGCAACTATGGCACTGTATCAAGGGAAATGTGTTTGTTTTTTAATAACTTGTTGAAAATAATGAATCCTCCACCAGGGATTATTAAAAAAAAAAAACAACACATGCAGCAGGGGCGGGGTTAAACTGCGGCGAGGGTGGGGTTAAATGTGCCCCCCAACTTTTGTCCCTGGGCCACCATGTGCCCCACCATGTGCCCCCCTAAAAATGAATCCTAGAGACGCCACTGGGCTCACCTGGCAATCTAATTATCACAGGTGTCCGAGATAGTTTTCAGTGATCAAAAGAGCCCTGAGACACAATGCCATCCATGAGTTAAACTGAAAAACTAAATTTTAATCTTTGTGATACTTAAATAGAATTTGCATAATAATTTGGAACAGGGTGTATATATAACAGGAGACATAAAGTGCAAGAAAAATAGTGCAGAATGTTTGAAAAATCAGTAATAATATGGTGTCCACAGGTTACTGCTCACCCTGATTTGGAGCCCATCTGTTACAGGGTCCAAGTTTTAGCACACACTTGCCAATTTGGAGTGACAAGGACCCCCTTGAGATGTAGATGGAACGAATGCTGGTCCCAGAGGATTGTGAAAATTAAAAAAAGTTTAAACTTTATTAAATTACAAACACAAGTAAACTCCACCTGGGATATAAAAACAAAGTAAATGGGGGGCGGAGCCTGGCCTTGGTACGAGATGGCTGCTTAGTTCTGCGGCTCTCTCTCCCCTGTAATAGAATCCGCCAACATCAGCGGCCTTAGGCACCCCCTTTTTGTACAACACGGCTCCCCCAACTTGCCTGACCCTAGGGAACCACTTGGACATGGGGGGCCCCAAGAAAAAGAAGGAGAACAACCCATCGGTGGCCTCGTTGATCGAGATCGGGGTTGGTTGACGTCTGGCGACTGCAACACCCCCTGACAGTAGATTTTACCTTCTTTTCTCATCCCCATACCTCATACTCGCGAATAGATATGTTCCTGACATCCCCGTCCCTAATCCCGCTTTTACACAAAACCTCCATCGGGCAGATCACATGGTCGGATCATGCAGACATCACCCTCTCTGTCCAGCTCCCCCAGGCGAGCAGACAGTGGCACTGGAGGTTGAACCCCACACTCCTCCATGTTCCCCACATACAAGAAACTGTCCGGCAGGCCATACAGACCTTCTTTGCCACCAATAAAGGGTCGGTAACCTCGGATAGTATGTTGTGGGCAGCCCATAAGGCGGTGATCCGAGGTACGCTAATAGCGGAGGGGACAGCACACAAAAAAAGCAAATTGGCACAGTTGTCACTTCACCTTTCTGAGCTTAGACGCTTAGAACACTTGCATAAACTTACTCCCACCCCGGACCTTACTACACAGCTCCAGACACATAGACAAGCCATACAAGCATTCATGGCCCGGGACTCAAAGAAAGCGCTCCTATGGACCAAACAATTGTTCTATGAGAAATCCAATAAAGCGGTTTCTCTATTGGCGAACAGACTGCTGCGTAAATCATTACGCAAACGCATAGCCTCGATTAGGGCTCCGGACGGGCACCAACACGACGACCCAACCCAGATAGCGGAGATATTCAATCGATTTTATGCCCACCTCTATGACCATAACCCACGGACTAGACAAGACCCCCACTCCTCTGAATTAGCCGCGGCACGCTTTTTGAGTGGCATACCCCTTCCACAGCTCACGGCAACTGCCAGAGAGGCGCTGGACGCTCCCATTTCAATAGAGGAGATAGCGGAGACGCTTAAGTCCCTACGCCCTAATAAATGCCCAGGCCCGGATGGGTTCTCGGGCTTATACTATAAAACATTCTCGGCAGACCTCCTCCCGTACCTTAAGGATCTGTTCACCTCCATTGTGAAGGGGGAAGCTATACCCCCGGACATGCTGCAGGCAAATATAAGTCTGATACCGAAACCGAATCAAACCCACCAAAGCCCGGGACATTTTCGGCCCATTTCGCTTCTCAATGTGGATATTAAGATACTCACTAAGCTTCTTGCAAATAGGCTACAACCCCACCTTCCGAGGTTGATCCACCCAGACCAGGTGGGTTTCATCCCGCATAGACAGGCCAGTGACAATACCAGACGTACATATGACCTGATCTGGGCGGCTACACGTAAAGGGTCCCCCACGTTATTGCTTTCCCTGGATGCCGAAAAGGCGTTTGACCGCATTTTATGGCCTTACCTATTTGCAACGCTAGTCAGATTTGGATTTCCCGACCAGTTCCTGACGACGATTCGCAACTTGTACTCCCACCCGACCGCGCGGGTATTGCTACCGAACACCTCACCACCCTCCTTTACTATACACAATGGCACGCGGCAAGGGTGCCCTCTGTCACCTCTTCTATTTGCCCTCTCCCTCGAGCCCCTTCTCCAACAGATTAGGCTTGACCCGGCCATAAAGGGAATACGGATACGTAAAGAAGAGTACAAGGTCGCGGATTATGCAGATGATCTTTTATTGACTCTGACGGACCCGGAAGCTTCACTGCCCCCTCTGCTGGACCTCATGGCGGACTACGCTGAGATCTCGGGATACAAATTGAATCTAGAAAAGACAGAGGCGTTAGGGCTCCAGCTCCCGCAAGCTCTGGATGGGGCCTTACGAGCTCGGTACCCGTTCCGCTTCCGGCCGGATTGCATCAAGTACCTGGGGGTGTTTCTTCCCGCGGACCTGAACTTGACCTATCGACTGAATTACCTCCCGTTGATAGAACAGACTAAGAAAGACCTGACTGACTGGCAAAAATTATCTATATCCTGGCTGGGTAGCATAGCCTTGGTTAAAATGACCCTTCTCCCTCGTTTTCTTTATTTGTTCCAAACTCTGCCGATTCCGATTTCGAGACCCGATTTTAATGCTTTGCAAACGCAGATAGATAGGTTTATTTGGGGGGGGAGGAGGATCCGGATCAAAAGAACCGCTCTCTATATTCCACACAGGAGAGGGGGTCTAGGCCTACCGAATCTGTGGGATTACTACCAGGCAGCCCAGTTGGCGCAAGTCCTGACGCTTCATGCACCGGTGGGGATCAAGATCTGGGTCGACCTGGAACATGACCTCTTTGGGAGGGACCACCCATCGCTGTACTTTTGGGTGCCGAAACCTCACCGGCCGGAGTTGCCCCACACTACGCCGGCCCTACGGACGTCTTTGCAGGTGTGGGATAGAGTTAACAGCAAAACCTCTCTTATCAATACGCCCTCACCGCTCACCCCAGTTTTGCGGAATCCGCAATTTCCCCCGGGTATGACACCTAAGCATTTTGCCCGCTTCGAAGACAACAACCTCATCAGACTTTGCCATTTTTTCCAGGGTGACCGCCTTCTCCCATTTGCAGACCTACCGCAATCTACCCCTCTCAACTCTTTTGATCATTTCTGCTATCTCCAGTTACGGAGCTTTCTGTCCATTCCGGACATTAGAGGGGCAGCCACAAAGCAGCTTACACCTTTTTAGAAAATGAGCATGCACACACCGGTAAGGAGAGGTCAGATATCCATACTTTACGATATCTTTGCCAGAAACATCCCTCCGGAGGCCTTTTTATACGTGAGGGAGTGGGAGAGGGACATGGGCCCACCGGCCGATCCATCAGACTGGGCAGAAATTTGGGAGGCCACGGCTTCAGTTACGATCTGTGTGAACCACAGGGAGCAGGCGTATAAAACCCTGCTCAGATGGTATGTCACTCCCCTAAAGTTCAAACAGATGCGACAATCGACCTCCGACCGTTGCTGGAAAGGTTGTGGGGCCCAGGGTACGTACTTCCACATGTGGTGGGAATGCGAGCGTATATCTGAATTGTGGAAGGCGGTTGCTGACATCGCCTCCAGAGCCTTACAAACGGCTCTCCCAATGGATCCGTGGATATGGCTGCTGTCCAAGCCCTTAGAAGCACTACCTAGGGCACAGAATAAACTAGTGGCAAAAATAGCCCTCGCGACACGACGGGCCATTGCTGCGCACTGGGGGAGGGCGGAAATCCCAACTCTGCCAGAAGTACGACGGAAAATAGAGGAATCCAAGGAGATGGATGAGCTATCTGCCCTGGTTCATGAGACGACTGCATCGGTTGGGAGGGTCTGGAGCCCCTGGAGCACTGTGTAGCGCCGGCGAGGGGGGGAGAGAGGTCAGGGGGGAGCTCCTGGCTCCTCGGACCCTTCTTGCCGCAAGTTTTTTGAGCACGGCTCCACCTCTTAGGCACGCCTCATACACGCACGCAGACAGATTATAAGCACTCAGAACAGGGGAGACGTCACACTGACATATAGAGACCTACATACCCTTTTTTTTTTTTTTTTTCTTCTCGCCATGTCTAGACATGGATGGGCCTTACTTCCCATGTTAGCTCCAGTTGAGCTTTCCTCTTATGGTTCAGATACTGTCAGAGTATTTATATCGGCAGACATTTTGTGCTATGATAGAAACTAAAAGTGTATATTCTGAGTCACTCTGAACAGACCAGACTCCATTTTGTTATTCCAAGTTAACAAAGACAAAGAGACACTATATTTCTATCTGTAAGCTAACCACTTTCCCAGATCTGAGGAATGCATAGTATATACAAACAAGTGATAAGGAAGGGGGTTGGATAGACTGTCTAAAATGCTAATGGAATATAATCAAATCTAAACCCAGACAATTGTGACAGAGAAGATTAAATAATTTAATATTTAACTGTCTATATATATAAGGTACCATTGTATGGAAAAGGGTAAACTTAGTTCATGATCTGTCATATCAGAAATTATGGCAGGAATTGCAGACGCTAAGTCTGGACAAAATTTAAGAAACCCTTTGAATTTTAAATTATGGCGCTATAAAGATAACGCAAAATGACGTCAAAATAGCCACCAGGAAAAGTTAACTCTTTCCTGGATAGGTATGTTTAGTGGGACAAGACTGCCCTCTACAGACCAAATAACTAATTTGCGATCTGGAAGATAACCACACCTCTAGTGCTTCTATTGGGTTATCAACTGATGACGTACAGAGAGTCTGGCCCTTTAAAAGTTAAGACAAAGGGAAGATAGATAGAAGGAGGCAGATGCAAGAGATGCAAAGAAAAAGAGGAGAGAGGAATTGGAAGTTTGGGGACTCCAACCTCCATGCAGAGACACATCCAAATAAATTCCTGAGATTACCAATCGGATGAAATATCTACTCAACTGGTAATTATACTGGTTTCATTTAATTAAATTAAATTAATTAAAATGTATTAATAGCATTATATATGACTGGATAAAGCACGGTCAGATTTCCATATTAAGAAATCTTAGTTAACTAAGAATATATAGTTATAAACATTCCATTCTGCAGGTGGAATTAAGAATAATTATATATTGATGTGATATTATCACGTGTTAGCATACCGCTGTTTTTATCCAGGTGTATTGATTTGCTCTAAATTAAGATAGATATCTTTTAGACAAATTAAAAATCTGCTTATATAATGTGGTAAATTCTCTTATGGATGGTTTAAGAAAATGACTAGTGAACTGGTTTAAATGTTATTTTATTTAAAAATACATAAGAATAGATCTTAACTACCTAGGAGATCTAGCCAGCATTGAAAGGGTTATTCTAACTGTCTGCTAAACTTTACGACCTTACGCTGCACTCTGAGGAATTCTGTTCTTAGCTGTGAAAAGTCTATGTTAAGGATACCTCATAAATCCTCAGAATTCTTGACAGATAATGCCGTTTAGCCATTGAAACGTAATACCCATTTCTTTGTATTGCATATCGTTTTATACTGAATATTCATTGATTATTGTTATGCATGTTACATATAATATTATTATTATTAATTTGTCATATAAATAAAAATCTATTTTTATACATTGTGATTATTATATGAAATACATTCCACTTAACACGATAAACGTTCTTTGGGATCTGAGAATTGAAATAGTGGGCAATTCTCAACTGTTTACTATTATTATCCCATAAATATCCCCACATATTGGAGGCACGGTGCTGAGATCGTTTAAGTTGAAATTGTATTTCATATATAATAATAATATTGGTGTAATTCATGCAATTTAATCTTAATATAGAAAAGAGTTTTGTATTGAGATTAATCAATAAAATAAAAATAAAAATGGCCAGTGGCAGTGATAAATCTGTAACAGATAATACTGAAATAATTGAAGACCTAAGAAAACATGCTCTAGTTCATATTCATAAACATATGAAAAATGATGCAACCTATGAGGTTTGGTTGAAAAGCATAGAATGGGAAGCTAAACAAACCATTCTAACTGATGAACACATCATCATATATCTTAAAGAAATTGCTGAACAAAAGAACATAGAAAGGAAAATGGCGTACATAATACACTCTTGGCCTTTCTTTATGACAGCACTTCTTAAGGTGTGTGATGAAAACAAGTCACTGAATGCCAAATTGGACACGTACAGTGACGATTTGGGCATTCAAAATGGGAAATACCAAGATTTACTTGCTGAGCATAAAACTCGTCAGGCTGATCATGAAAAAGAAATGAAAGCTTTGATGGATAAATATGCACAGGAAATAAATCAGCTTAAAATGCAATTGGATGAGTATGAAAAGGAGAGTCAGAAATTAGACAGTGAGGTTGGTAGTCATCATTCTGTGCCAAAAAGTTGCACAAAAATGCAAGAAAAGACTATCTGTAAATCCCCTCCTTATTATGGTTTTCCCACACCAAACCAGGTTTTCATAAAACAGTCTGTAAGAAAAGAGGTGAGTAATTCTGAGAAAACACCTGTAGGTTCTTGGCAATCTTGGGCAGAACAGTTTGAAAAGACTGTCCTGGCCAAGCTTGACAGAAAGAATCAGATTCAAGGTGATAGGAATGAAAACAGACATGGTTCTGTACACTGGCAGGATTCTGATGCTGATCAGAGTTGTGACAGTGAACAAGAAGCTCAGAGTGATGGGAGTGAAAGTGATTGCACTATCCACTCTGAAGGCCATGTAACTGATATGCCATCTGCGCTGTTGTATGGGTCTAATTCCTCTTCAGCAGACAGATCGCATAGACGTTTACCCAAACACAGAAACAGAGATCGTAAATCAACGACGCCTGTTTATGAAACACCAAAGGTCATCAAATTCCTTAGAGAGACTGTCCCACAATTTTCTAGAGGTTCAGGAAACATATCTGAACATC